GTGAGATGGGGACCTGGATTAGGCAGAAGCAGTTTGGACATTGTATGCTCTCCTCTCTCTCTCCCCCTCCCCCCACTCGTGTGTGTGTGTGTGTGTGTGTGTGTGTGTGTGTGTGTGTGACTATGTAAACCAATGTGACTGTCAGGGAAGCTCTCAGAAGGCATGTTTTACAATTGTGCCACATGGGTGTGCTTTTCCTAGATGCTCATTTGCCTGGAGAACAGGTTCTAGACCTCAGTTCTTCATGGGCTTATCCAGGGTCTCACCTCACCCAAGCCCCCTTCCTCCAGCTTGTCTAGCTCTATTTTCCTCCCTAGAGACTAACTAGGTAACTAACTAGGGTCTCAGCCGGTGCTGGGAACCTCAGGGCTTTTGCTCAGCCTTTCTTTGGTCTGTTGTTTTCACATGTATACGTTGAATATTGCTCTTCGATCACTTTCTCCGTGACTTTTAGATTTCAGAGCCTTCCTGTGGGAGCCTTCCTGGCGAGCCTCGTTTGTCCTAGGAATTTACTCTCTGGCTCTTAAACACTGGTCTCTATTTTGTAGTCCATATTTTGTGCTTGCAAATGCTTTTGCTGTTTGTCAGCAAGTGGGCTGTGTTTTCTTCTTCCTGTTACTTGGAGCAGGGGCTGTGATGGGAGGGCTGAACATCCAGGCCCTGTGTCTTCAGTTCCTTGGTTATGCTGCAGGGCCCTTCCTGACTCATCCCTCCCAGGATCACTAGTAAAGAGTCCCCTCTGCAAGGGGAGGAGGGGGACAGGACCCCACCAGTCCCATCTACTCCCCCACCAAGTCCCATGGGTGGCGGTGTTCCAGGATGGGTCTGCCTGCGCTCAGGGAGCCACCCAGGCCCTGCGGACAAAGCTCCTCTGCGGAGGTCGGGACCCTTTGCAGCACCCCTGGGAAGGGTCAGCACTGTTGACAGTGGCCCCAGGTTAACAAAACACAGGCTTGTCAGGGCGTCCACCCCGGGCAGCTCATCTTCCTGCAGCGCCGTTCCCAGCTGGTCGAGGGCAGCACAGGAAGCTGGCACAGAACCCAAGTCTCCCAGGGCCAAGCGGCTGCCCGGAAAGGCTCAGAAGCTGAGCAGGGATCGACGTGTCCTTCCTTGGATAGCTGGCCATCTCTGGTTCTTGGTGTGGCAAGTGGCCTCAAGGTCGCTGTGCAAGGCCTCTGTGCTGTCTGTCTTTCAAGCTGAAACTCACTGTCCACAACACTCCGACGCCTATTTTTAGCCTCTGATTGTGGGTGTGCTCTCGCTATTCTGACCTCTACCCCAAACAGGCATCTTGCTTTTTTTTTTTTTTTTTATTCACGTCTTCTGTTTTATCCACCTTCTTGCAACTCCTGTCCCCACCCCAACACGTGGGTGCTCACTGCCTTCCTCTCAGGACTATCTCCAAAGCCATCTCTGCCAGGAAGCCTTCCTAGCGTGCCTTTGAGCTCCTGTACTCCAGCTACCCCTTACCCCTCTCTCTCTGCCAAATGGGGTTTCTCTCTTTGTTGTTGTTGTTGTTTTGAGCAGGTTCTGTGGTACAAAACGGCAAAGCAACCAGCTAGGAAATGACTTGGAATGGTCCGATTTGTCAAAGCTTTCAGGACACTCCTTTCCTGTTGGTGGCTGGATGAGGCCCGGGGCATGCAGATGGGAAAATACCAGCTAATGTTTTCTGCAGGTCGTTTGAAAAGTTGCTTCTGGTAGATTGGCCTCTTCTATGTTCCATGGGAGGGAGCCATAAAAATCCTTTGCACAATGAGCTGCTGATATGAGATCTGCTGGCCAATCAGGGTGGCCAGTTGGCACGCGACCCGGAGTCACCCTCTGTCCACTGCAACGGTTTCTTCACCGGGGTCCCGGGAGCTACATTTTGTAGCGTTTTTACTGATGCCTCCCTTGACCCACTCCTCCCTATGACCCACTCACATCCCACTCTGCTCTCAGGTGGAGTCCCCTTTGTCACCAGCCTGCAGTCAGGGTGGGCACACTAGGACAAGGCGGCATGGGGCACCGAGGTCAGGAGCTCTGCGAGCTTCTCTGCCTACCAGCTATCCCCTTTTGCCATAGCTCCTATCTTTTAGTTTCTTCAAAATGAGCTTATTACGTGTGTGCACGGTGTGTGTGTGTGTGTGTGTGTGTGTGTGTGTGTGTGTGTGTGTGTGTATGCGTGTACATGCACGCACGTGTCCTGGCATGCATGTAGAGGTCTGAGGAAATCTCTGCAAAGTCACTTCTGTCCTTCCACCTTTGCGTGGTTCTGGGGTGGAGCTGAGGTAGCTGGGTTTGAGAGACAAGCACCTTGACCAGATGGGCTACCCAGCCTGCCCTTCCTTTAACTGTCATGTCGGTCAAGAGATTCGCCCTGGTGTCAAGTGTCAGTATCTAGTTCCACACGGCGGAGGCTCATAGCTCAGTGTTGCAGAGAAGCCTAGGGTCTAAAGGTGACTGGGCGCTTGCCCATGTCCAAGGACATCTGTCCTCGGCTGAGATGAAGCAAGGTCAGGCCTGTGCTCTAGAGAAATGACTCCCAGAGGCCACTAAGACCCTCTGGTGTTCCAGGACAAACATGGCAGGGGCGCATGCCTGGGAGACAATGGGTGTGCTTCCTGAAGTGCTTTCGGGGAAGATGGGCAGCCCAGAGCCCTCCGACACCATGACTTTAGGTAAACAGTTTTAGCTGTGCAGTGCCAGGGTGATTCCAATTCATAAAAGCGGACAGGTAACCTCTGTTCCGCCTGTTTCCTGCAGGCATTATGTAAATTGAGCTGACACAGGTGGCCTTGATATTTTGCAAAACAAATACATCCTGCAGGAAGGCAAGAACCAAAGGTGGGATTTCGTGGACGCGGTGCCTGAGGTCTGTGGGCAACCCTTTTGCACCTGGCCCCCTGGTGTCTGGCCGGGTGCCTGGTGTGTGTGTGTGTGCTCAGCAAATGTACACACAGGTGAACCGACTAGAAAACTGCAGCTTTTTCTCCAGCCCTGGCTCTGCCCCTTCCAGGTCACTTACGCTCTTCACTACAAGGCAGTTATGTAGGTGCTCTGTATGTGTGGGACATGCAGTAGGTGCTCAATAAAAGCTTTGATTGCTAACCCTTTATAGTGTGGATACTTTTCTACAACTGAAAACAAGTGACACCTGTCCCCATCCCAGGCCAATGGAACTTTTAGGGTTACACCTGGTCATCAGCGTTTGGACAGGAAAAAAGACTGAGGTTTGCAAGCTCTCATCCGTGGCGGTAAACCACGGGGGATTTCTGTGTGATTTTGTTGTTGTTGTTTGTGTGAGACAGAGTCTGTGTAGCTCTTGCTGGTCTCAAACCTGCTATGCAGCTGTCAAAATGTTTGCAGAAAAAGGTTTGGATATAGGCTAATACATTAAGAGTCAAAATGAGTTCCCTGTAAGGGAGACATTTGGGTTAACAATGATTTAACAGTTTTAAAATTATGTGCTTTGCAATTGTGGTCATTAATTTTTTGGGTCATGTTATAAAGGAAGGTAGGTTTAAGTTATAATGGTAATGCTGGGCTAAATTCATGTGACAAATATTTATTGACTGTTTATTTTATAATAACAAATATTAGTGACTGCCTCTAGACCAGAACCATGCATTACGACACTCATTGAGGCACAAAGGCAAACCACACATGCAATTTGAAAAATTATAGCAACCATGTGAGAAGTTTTAAAAAGGAACCAGTGAAATTAATATGAACAAGGTATTTTTATTAACGCAGTATATCTAAAACATCATTTCAGTGTATAATTATAGCTATATTTTGCTTAAGCTCAGGGACACCTTCTGGGGAACGTGTTGCTAGGCGATTTCACTCTGTGACCAGCCATCAGGTATACTTATGCAGGCCTCAGTGGCAGAGCCTGTTACGCACAGAGGCCTGACGGTACGAAGGGTCCTCACGGGCAAGTCCAGTGTTCTCGGAAAGGCTGTTAAGCTGCCTGGGGGTTTTATAATTCAAAATTATCAATGTGACATTTATTTATATATTTATTACTCGCTGGAGTGTGTGCCGAGGTGCACAGGAAGAGGGCAGAGACAGCTTTGGAAGCTAGGTCTCTCCTTCCACCGACTGGGTCCTGGGGATTGAACTCACGCTGTCATCCTTGTGCTGCAAGCGCTTTACCCACTGAGCCATCTTGCTGGCCCCAGGGTATGGGTTTTAGTTTTTGGTATTAATTCTTTCACAAAGTCTCCATTTTGCTTCCCGTTGTGAAGAAAACTTTACCGGGTACAGGTTCCTAGACTAGTAGGATTTTTTAGTACTTCATTCCACTCTCACATGGTTCCTGAGACATTGGTACAGGTCTTTGCTTTGAAAAGATTTTTCTTAAGGGGCCCTAGAGAGATGGCTCAGAGGGTAAGAGCACTAGCTGCTCTTCCACAGGTCCTGAGTTCAATTCCCTGCAATGACATGATGACCCACAACCTTCTATAATGAGATCTGGTGCCTTCTTCTGGCCTGCAGGTAGGGGTATGTGCAGGCAGAACACTCTATACATAATAAATAAATAAATCTTTAAAAAAAAAAAGATTATTTAGATTGATTTACATGTATGAGTGTTTTGCCTACATGTGTACATTCAGTTCATATGGGACATGCCCACAGTGGCCTGAAGGGTGGGTCTGATCCACTATCCTATGGGACAGGCCCACAGCGGC